GGAAGCCCTAGCAAAAATAAGTCGTAAATGAATAAAAAACCATCATATGGTTCTTCGGCTGGAAGTACCAGGAAATGCTCAGTCATTTCTCCCGTCGTCCAGTCCCTCCGATATTTCTTGGGCTGAAGAAAAGAGTTGCTCTTCAGACAGGCTGCAGGGCAGCGGTGGCGAGGGGAGTCTTTTGTAGCGCCTTGCGAAGTTTGTCGCAAGCTGTTTGGCCTCCAAGGCTTGAATCCTGTACCCAAATCACTTCCTTTACCCAAGGCGTCATTCTTTGTAGCATCGCATTTCTTGGTGCATGATCGATGTGCATGCAATTATTTCTCCACGTGGCTACAGGACCAGGATCTTTTTGTATCCATTTTTGGCACTGGTGCATTTGAACGAGGCTTTGATGGCAAGCAGCTTGACAACTGTGATCCCCCATTGGATTTCTTGGTGGAAGCGGTCCCGGGATCTGTCTCCGTTCGTTTGAAACAGATTTACCGAACGCATGGCCCTGTGACCTGCCCCAAGGTCACCCACTAGATACCCATGGCCCCAGAAATGGGCAGTCGTGTTCCGTATGGCACTGGCACCCATCTTTTAGGGGAGTCCATGTAAACCGCCTAACTGGGGGGATTGGGCCATTTACTCAGAAACCTCATTCCACATCATGACCCTCATCACTGATATGATGAACAACTATATATCAGCCCGAATCAAAGCCTCATGAGTCACTGAAGCTGAGCCAGACGTCTCAGCAGCACATTTATGAAGATCGCCTTTCAGCGTTTGGGTGCGATGGAGAATCGACGGCCTCAGGATTCTTGATTTGTCTACCTACCAGGGTGGCAGCCAGGGTGGCGGCAACGAGCACTGAGAAAAGAACATATCCCAGACGCTCCATGTATGCCATATATATATATATATGCCTACATTGACCCCCAAAACCATTAAAAAATAGGCATATATTCTATGTTTTGTGATACTCAAACAGGTGCTAAGTGAAACGGCCGGCTCAGAGCCCTATCGAATTTTTGATACTGCATGCAACGTCTCTATAATGAGGTTTGAGGGGGGCCATTGATGCATTCAGGGTCGTGCGCTTTCGGATGCACCCCACAAAAACACTGGCTAATGGCTCAAAAGCAGGGTGCCATCTAAACCGAGTGGAGAAAAAGGTAAGATAGAATTAAGATGATTTTTTGAGCCACATCCACGTGTAAGCCCGTTGCAATTCATGTATTAGTGAACCTCATGGCCGCGGGGAAGCATCGCCCCCAAGACAATCCCCCTGGATTGATGCGTTGCACGCGCAACAGCACCGTGACTGGACACGAGTCTTCAGCCGCGAATCGTATCAGGACGTGGCTTGAGAGTGACCCAAAAGCCCCAGGACTTACTTTGGCACCTGTGATCAGATCAGGAAAGGACTCCCGTCTAAAAGGCGCCAAAGTTGCGCGAGTTGTGCCAGTAGGACGTGTCAAAACCCCGGCCCAGCCCAACATGTTGCAATCTTTGGGGCCTCTCAGAGTATTGCCAGTCGGCCCAGCCCAACTTGTCAAACCCCCCCCAGTTTCTCGGGTTGTGCCAGTAGGTATTTTTGGGGGGGTCTCTCAGAGTATTTTGCCATGTTTGGGGCCTCTCATCCCGCCGGCCGTGTGTTCTTTGGGGTTTTCTTTTTCGGTGAGTTTGGGGCCACAGCTTCAGAACGGCTTTTTTGTTCGAAGCAATGCAACTATTTCACAGACCACTCTCTACAGTCCAACTCAGCTTCGCCATTGGGTCATCAGGGGGCTCGAGATATCATGTTCAGGGTCGATGCTCACGATCAGGTGCGGCGCGCCGTGAATGAACGGCATGGGGTTGATGAATTTTAGTGTATTTTCACACTGGGACATTTTGGAACCATTCTCTCTCGCCGTTTTTGGGATGTTGGTCAGAACTCAGAAGGCGAACAACCTCAAAAACTCGCAAAAAAGAATTGTCAGGTCAACATGCCCAGCGCCCGTGGGGCTGACCTGGTGCTTTCATGCTTTTAGCATCTCACAAAATAGCATTTGGATGCATTTGGAAACCTAAACCCTGAGATGAGCTGCCAATAGACATGTGTTCCGTTCCGTGTTTGGCAGAAAGAGGGCAAACATGATTCTTACAAATTTCTTTGAGCTCCTGAAGTGTTTTGGTTTTGACATCTTTGTCCAGCCTCGGTGTTCGGCATGAGCTGCCTGCGTAGTGTGTTTAGCAAGATGCCGGGTCTTGTTCATGAAGATGGAAGGGGATGTTGTCTTTTGGGAGGGTAGTAACGGAAGACGATATGTATGGGAGAATTGAATACGATGGAATATAATTACACGTTGGACATGTTCCTTGAAGAAACATGAAGCAATATATGCGACGGGAGATTGTCCGCCCACTGTTGAACTGGTCAAGAAGTGGTGGGCCAACATGCTGTGATGCACCACTTGGGCTGAGCAGTGGAACCCCCATCAAACTCTAGGCAGTACTAGGCAGACACTGACAGACCAACAAATCATTAACAGGGAGGGGTCTTTTTCTCAGAGGTGGCTCATCAAGAGAAGTATCTTCCAATTCAGTGACCTTGGCCCGAGCAAGATAGACCAAAGTATACAGATAGATTCAGAGAGACTTGCACAGCTGGCTTTGGCTTTGGATGATTCCCCTGTTGTGAACCCTGATGGGGACATCTCCAGCTTGGGCCAATCGAAGTTTTTGAATTTGCAAAGCATCGGCACTTCACATCGGACAGGTTAACCTGTAGCACTGGCGGCGAGTCGCAAGATCGAGCAAGAAGAAATGTAAAACCATCAAAGGATATCAAATGCCTATTGAAATTGAATCGACTGGACTCTCAGCATGTTGATACGCCTCATGATGTCTTTGGGTGAAGACAAGAAGCACGGCAACAGTACACCTGCTACAGTAGAGGATTGTGGTAGGCTAGAGGATTGCGGTAATATGATTTGGAGCGTTGAAAACCATCTCTAGATTTAGCATCGATTCGCGTCGAGCTTTGACAAACAAATACTCAAAGGTAAACGAAGGTACATTTCAGACAAAGACGGTTGTTTGTCCATTCAGCTTGTTGAGAAGGTGAGAGTTGACATCTTGTTTTTGCACCAGCACGGGTGATGGATACCATTGATCCCGGGCATGCCCACATTGCTCAGTGCGTTTGGTTGGTAGGGGACTAGACCTTCGAATTTCATGATATGTTTGTGTTGACATGTGTCGACTGACAAAGCGCCGGAGTGCGTTTCTAGCCACTTCAGTCTGAAGAGCATATGATGTTCCCCCAATCGGAATTCCTGTTCGTCTTCACTAAGACATCCCCCCCACATGTTATGAACCCACATCAACCGTCTTGGGAGGTCCGATCGCTGGAGATCATGGGAGATCCATGAGCTTTTCCATTCAACTTAGTGGCTTCGCGTTGTTCGTGCGGAGGTGTGCGTGGAATTTCGGGTTTTCAACTTGTCACTCAAAAAGCATCACAAGAGCGACAATGGGACCTCACTCAGCTGTGAATCGTATTGAACCGCCGGACGTCCCACATGCAGAAGGCAACGGCTCGATCGCAACACACCGACTTCCTGCCATGCTGCGTGCGAATTCGCACTGTGTCCATGGGCACTTCGGTGCGTGCCGAATCGTCAAGTCCGAGACCCATTCGTTTCTGGGATTGCCATCCGTTTCAGCTGTATTCAACGTGGATGTTTGAGTGTTCACGGAAGTTGCACATGGAATTTGCAGGTGTTTTTTTGATAGACGGGTGCCTTTAGGCAAGATCGACCCTTTTCTTTAGCCATTGGCAGTCCCTTGGAGCTTGTTTTGCTGAAAGCCTCACTAAAGTGTTGTCCGCTCTTGTTTGGCCAGCGGGCATGTGGCACGTGTTTGGCCGCAGACAGTCGTGTGAAGCCGGAAACACGCGCCGGAGAGTCGAGGGCACCGGTTGTGAGCGCTGGACCGCTGTTGGGGACCTGCCCGGGACGCGTGACCGGGACGCGTGGTTTGGTGCCATGGGTACTGACAAGTGAGATCACCTTGAAACATGAAGCTCAGAAGAGAGTCCGGGGAATAAGATTGACATGTTTTGGGCAAGATGGAATGTTTGAATACTGCATACTATATGGTGAAAATGTGATAAAATCTGTATACCGGATTCGTGAACGGCATATTGTGAACGGGGGTGCAGGGGTGCGAACGTCGGGAAAACCCAGGAGCGAACCAAGGGTGGCAGCTCCACAAGGAAGGTTTGGACAGTTCGATGTCAACTGAAGCTTGAGAGACCTCAAAGCAATGCTGTATGTTGGCTGGCTGATCTCTCAAGACTTAAACCAACATATGCATAGACATTCATACAGAACTTTATGGGGTTATTTGTGGGACAGCCAAGAGTGGCTAGACTTGACAGAGAGAGAGAGAGAGAGAAAATCGATGAAAATCGTACCTGGCTGGTTTGAGGGGTGTTCCAGCCACAATCCAAAGCCACAAACCAAATGAAACAGTTGAGGCACTCACATGCGCGCATGAAACCACGGATCCAGATCTAAGGACCTGCCATTTCTCAGAACGAGTTCCGACGATGCGTGTATCAGATCAGTTTTGACTCGGAGATGTATTGTAACGGGGGTCTAGGAGTGTTTACGTATTGTTTCGTCATGTACCTGTGTGTGTGTGTGTCTGAAATGTGTGTTTGATGTCGGGATACCCTCGGGTCTTGAATCACTTGTCGGATTCCTAGTCAGTTTGGCCGATCTGAAGTCCATCACCTGAGACCTGAGATCTGACTGACTGAGAGAGAGAGAGAGAGATGAGAGAGAGAGAGAGAGGTGCAACCTTCGACCCTCCTGCACAGGACCACATGGACTCTCAAAACCACTAGGGTGGTAGAGTTAAAATGCTCCACGGGGTGAATGTTCAAGTTCTGGTCCTTTGCAAGAACTTCACTCGCTGTCAGCCTCTCTCACCGCAATCGACCAGACTCTGCGCGCCAGGCAGGGCTGAAGATCACGGCCGTCTCCTGCCATCCCGGTGCCGTGGAGCCTCGGAGCCGGTGGGGTCCGGTACGGAGCCCGGTCGATGCGATTCCGGTGTCCGGTGGTCGGTGCCACACGGATCCACCAGGTCCGTTTTTGACCGCAGGGAGTGGTCCGGAGTGGTGTTTTAACTTGGATAGATCGAAAGCCAGAGAGCTGCGACTGAGCATGGCAATGTGAAGTCTGAGGACATCAGGGAAGCTTTGACTGGTTGAGGAAGTGCTCGGAACTCTGTGGTGATTTGAGAGCATTCGATTGGCATTGATTGGGTTTGCCATAGCGCCCGCCAGTGCCAAGTGAGGCCAGACTCCACATCGGTCCCAGGGGTGCTCTCACCTTTGTGCAGCTGGTAGGAAACTCGACGCGGCTGACCACTTCGAGGCTTCGAGCGACGGACCACGTTGGTTCAACGAAATGCCCCGTCCTGGCGAAGTCAACTGCAATAACCTTCCGGGTCTTCCTCGGTCGTCGCCGGTGCACTCTCCAAACACCAGAGCTGGAGCGCCACAGGAGGCTGGCCCAGCCAACGCTGGCGCCAAGTCAGAGATGACACCTGCTTAGGTGTTCACTTTCATGATACTTTTATGGCATCATCTTAGTATGGATATGTGTGGATCCGTTTGACGGGAGACGTTCATCATCCACGGAATTTCTCGGCCAAGACATCGACCCTTCGCTCCGTTGTTCTCTCGCTTCGGACACCAAAACCCCCCATTTGGACGTGGATTCCGGTGTACCACTCGTGCCACCCCGCGGTGGGTTCGGAAGAGGTTCCTTTTCGCCAGAGCCGAGGACACCGACTTGGCTCGCTGGACCATTAGCCCGGAGGGAGATCCTGGAAAGGCCACACAGATGCGCAAGGTGCGCCAGATGCCTTTTGCTCGTGGGAAGGTTTGGCTTTGTGAGGAAAATGGAAATAGCTGTGAGGTTCGAACATCATGAGTCAATGAGTAATATTATATGTATATATATATATACACCCTTTTGGGATAAAGCATTGTAAAAACAGTGAAATTAATAATGCCAATGAAGCATTGAGTAAAGTGCGCTGGGGTTTGAGTCGACTTATCTCTGACCCCGCACCCTAGTCACAGTTTCAAGGATCTTACTGTACTGAGTCCCCGACAAATGGCCCAAAAGTGGAATCTTGGCCGCTTGCAGCGGCATTTCTACAGTTTTAGGCGGTCACGGCAGATCTCCCATCGAAGCCTATCTCAGCTCACAGGAAGCGCCCTGGGCAGATGTTTTGGCCACCTTCCTCACACGTACCGTGCAGCTGGGCGCCAATACCCAGGCGGGCGCCGTACATCAGTGCGCGTGGAAGCTCGACGGGACCGTGTGTGGTTCGATGGGACCTTGGGTGGTTCCTTTCGGTGGTTTCATATGGAACCCCTATCTGATAAGGACATCCTTGGGGTACCAGTGCCATCGAACCTCTGAAACCACTGTATTCAGGCTTTGGGTGGTGAGGAGGCGTGGCGCGGACCTCACACTGACATATTGAGCTTTGCAGCTGTAAACGTTGAAATGGAGTTCGTGTTTTTCTGCCATGTTTTCAGTTTTTGCAACGTTGAGTCACATGTCGTCAACCAAGTGCAGACCTCCCTATCCAGTTTGCACGTTGACAATTCTGCCAGGTGTACCTGGCCGCTGGCGGCGATGGTGGCTATGGAAGCTCCGGAGGTCAGTACTTCGATAACATGGCACCAGGCCCAGTGCAGGGAAGTGGCAGGCAGATGAAAGAGGCAAAGTTGCTGGTGGAAGCGCGCTTGGCTTCTGAAGAGTTGGACTTGTACTCTTGTCCGGGGTTGCATCGCCATCATCCAATTCCTGAAATCCTGATTTGGTGGTCGTGAGGCAAACATCCGTTCAGCCATGACATCCAAAAGCACAGCCCCTCGACTTGAAATTCTCCACCCGTTCCTGCCGTCGTACGGAGTCTGACGAACTGATAGCAAAACATTGGGCTTGTCCTATTAATTAGTAAACAAATATCACTCGTTTTGAACAAGGCCTTGAACCTAACCATCATCATCCACTGTTCTGCTACTGGCAATCGGAGATCGGATGGTCCAAAACAGCTGCACCTCGCCAGGACTCTTGAACCCGGTGGCCAACGACGAGCAGTTGGCACAGGAGCGGAGCGGACCTTCAGCCGGCATCGGGAGGTATCCTCACCTGGTCATAGTGAGAGAGAGAGAGAGAATGAAAGAAAGAAAGAAAGAAAGAGTGAGTTGGAATCAACCATGTCACACCCGAAGTCTCTTGACTCTTGCATTTGGGCCGGGAGATGTTGTTCGTTTCTCGTTGCAGCACGGCTGCTTGCTGCTTGGATGGCCCTTGTCAGACAAAAGAGAGAAGGAGATGATCCTTCCAACCATATATCTACCGCCTCCTCCAGCGGTCATCACCCTACCCGAATGGGATCCTTAAATGGACACTCCTCTGAAGGTCCGGGTGTGTTCGCATGTCCAACTACCCAAGCGTTCGGCGTGTTGGAGGTTTTCTTTTTCCGAACAGAAGAGAGGAAGAAGAACAGAAAAACCACTGAACTACATACAACTTACCACAATGTCCTATACATCCTATACATCAATCATCGTATATCATCATGCAGCATGCATATTATAAATCCGTTCGTGAATGGATGTCCCCTCAGTTTCGCAGAATCCGCCGACGCGCACTGGGATTTGCTTGGCTGCTGGGCTCGAGGCTGCCCTTGAGCAGCCCACAGACAAAGTCCAGGAAGAGAACAAAGGTGGGGTATTCCGCATTCCCCACAATAACAATAAATATTTGCAGATATCATATTTGCATGCGTTTGCTGACCAGTGCAGGATGAAATAGCAGCTGGCAGTGCTGGGTGTCTCCTATTCTTTCCTGACGCTGGATTAACCCCCCTCCTACTCCACCTCCTCCTCCTATTACTCTCCTGTTTTGTTTCACCTAGCTCCAACCCCTGAAAGCAAGAACCCAGCTTTGGCCTAGGGGATGACGATGCTTGGTAAGGATCATTCTTCCCGGAGGTGATCGGTGCAGCTCAGAATGAAAAGGCTTCAACTCAACAATAAACGAACCCCTCTTTTTTTAATGCTTGTAACTTCTAAGGCTCCAACGTTCGATTGGTAGGCAATGACTCTCGGCAAGAAAAATGGACCCCGGCAAGCCTGTGGAAACTGCGCCCCATGACACCACTTCTTTGGCTATTCTTTGCTACCTTCCCATGACCTAGAAGGTTGTGCATCGGTGTGCCAACAGATATTGTACTTAGCTCTCCCACTCACCCCCAGGTGACCTGTTACAGTACATCACCAAGACTTGATGAACGAGCTGAATACTGTTGGCCAACTGGCATCCCTGGCAGGTGCCCAGGCAGGCGCCCATCTACTGTAAGACTCGTCCCTCACAGACGTTCGGAGTGCGCAACACTTGACCCGGTGCCCTAGTGCCGCGAAGCCATGGCCTTCCGAGAGGAGCAGGTTGGAAGATGACTGGCAGTGAAAGACTATGATGATGACTAATGTACTCTTGACACTTGATGAATAAGCCCCCTCAAATGGGGGGGTCTATAATTCAAGAGTTTATAACCGTCTACATCGCAAAAGAGATTTGGCAATCGACTCAATTCAATTGCTGTCGGCGTTTCCTCCACCGGACATGGCCGGTTCACATGTTCTATCATGATCTGTTCCACCGTGCCACGTGTTTCCACGCCATGTATCTCCGGCCGGTCCGCCGGTATCCAGGTGCATGCAGCGGTGAACTTCCTCACCAATGATCAAGGCTTGCGGAACTGGATCTCTGAGCCTCGAAAAAACGGCCGTGTAGAGCAGAAAAAAGAACTGGCCCGGGAGTTTTCTTGGAGGGAGATGCGAACCACACCGCGATGGTCACGGGGTCGTTTGTTTCGACCGAATCTGAACAGTTTGGGATCGTCGAATCCCGGATGGCAGATTGTCGAATTGTTGTTCACCTGCCGTGTGGTGGGTTTTGGACCACCAAAAATGGATTCTCTGAGAGCATGGATTCCAACAGATCCACCGGTTTGGACGGAACGGACCGGTTCCAGGGCAGAGGTGGTGACAGTCCACATCCGGGGAGATTCAAAGCTCACAGGGTGAGGTCAATCTCAAAGCTCACAGGTGTCCAAAGTGGATTTGCCCTCAGATCCACTTGGTACAAAATATGTGACCTCAAAGCTTAAGGAGGCTCCAAGGGTCTGCAGGCTCATCAAGGGCCAGTTTGGTCACTTTGGGTCGTCAGGGCAGATGTCTGGAGTCTGGAGGGCGTGCAAGGGTCATGACACCGAGGACAAGGAGGACTTCCTCTTCCAAAAAGGCTTGAGCCAGTCAGAGGCGGACTGAAGCTGTGGGAGAGGATTCCAAATCCAGATCTACTGGGGCATGTCCCTATGGTCTTTTTGGTGTGATTCGGAACCTACTTTGGGACAGGCAGACTGGTCCGTTTTGTGGCGGCTGGTTTTGACCCCCACAGATATGGTTTTAATTGTCTTTATATTTTTGGGCTGTCACAGAATCACAGAAAAAGGATGAACATGGATAAATAATGCAGTGCTCCAATTATGTTGTTCACGCATGGACGGACGCGCACACACCTGCAGACTCATGCAGATGCATGCAGACTCAAGATCAGTCCATCTGCCTACCTCTGGAAGAGCTGACGGCATGAGGATTTGCGGCAGGAGAACTAGCTCCTCCTTCGTGCTCCGCTACTGCACGATCCATGCAATTCGAGGGCCAAGATAAGAGGCAAACAGTGAGGCAAACCGTTGGTCAAAATATCCCAACTTCCACCAGTTGATGATCGAAGGCCTATATCACGGCGCGCGATGACTCCTTTTTGATATATATACCCTAATCTTCAATGTCTATGGTAAACTTCGACGTTG